TGGATGGCCAGTTCTTTTTAAAGACACATTTGTTATACAAGTGCTCAGAGAACTGTGTGTCAAAGCACCCCATTGCAAAGACAGACCTTGAAAGAAACTAACATCCTCTTTTTTCCTTAATATGTTGAGTTATCCACCACAGTTGCTATTCTAGTTAAGGTCTAATCCTTTAAAAAAGTAGAGATAGATCAATAAGTATCTTTGGTATTTGTATGGGCCCTGTTATCTTTGTTTCTGAGCACTTCACAAATTTTAACTTTTTTTTCTACAGAGGAGGGCATTGCTATTAGCCCTAACGTACAGATAGGGAACGCAGCCACATTGAAACTTAGGTCCAAGTCCTCAAGGGTATTTAGGTACCAAGTCCCTTGGATTTCAGCTCATCAAAGCAGTCACTGTCACCTAGGCAAGCACTAATTTTTATTTTTAGATCAATTCCTATTTTCTTTTTCCTGTTAAGATGAGGCCTAATGCAGAGATCTCCAATCCTGGATGGAACTGATTTCCAAGGGAGTTATGTGCCTTTTCAAGGACTGGAACCTAAGTGACTTCACAAAGGAAGCATACAGCAATACAGGGAACCAAACTGTGATATTTCAAATCCCCGGGCTACTAGCCCAATCCCTGAGTTATCCCTGTTGAAGGCTATGAGTAGTCTAGGAAAATAGTTAGAGCAAGACTGGAGAAAACATAGGGAGTCTGATTCAAAACTGTAATCCAAAGAACAAGCCAAGGAATGGCCAGTGTACACAGGAGCCAAAGAAGTAAGAAGATGAAAGGAACCAGGATCTGGGAGAACGCCTGTTCACTAGAGCACCCCAAGGGATGACAAGATCCAACGATCACAAACTCTTGCAAGACCATTTTACACTGGCCATCAGGAAAAACCTCTTTACTGTCCGAGCCCTGGAAAAGGCCTGGAATAGACTCCCTCCAGAGGTGGTGCAAGCACCTACTCTGGACTGTTAAGAAATGTTTGGGTTCTTATCTTGCTGGGATCCTTTGACCCTAGCAGGGGACTTGACTCGATGATCTTCTGAGGTCCCTTCCAGCCCTAATGTCTATGAAATCTATGATGCAGCCAGGCAAAGGGAGAGGCTGGAGCAGGAAACCATGCAGGCAGAAGCCAGGCAAGATACTGGAGACAGGACTAAGCAGTATCCAGGGTACAAATTTAAGACAACCTCAGTTTTATCAGGTGCACCCAGGGCGATGCACTGAGCAAGTGGGCTGCCCTTCTCATTCGTGGCGGACTCCAAGGGAAGTGTGTGGTTAGAGGGTAAACACCAAAACTAGACATAATATTACAGTGATTGCATACGTGCCCGTTTCAGCAGTAATATAACCTCTCTACTTCTACCTAGCATTTCCACACTTAGAACCGAAGCTCTTCTGGCCACGATGTCTTTCGTTTTTATCCAGTCCTTTGGAACAGCCTGTGACTTATTGAAACCTGACATTAACAGTCCAGAGAGCTCCTTAGCCAGCTCTTTTAAAACCTGTGGATGGCAGTTATTTAGACCAGTTGATTAAAAAAATCCCTTTAGTATATGCTGCTTAAAATCATCCTTAGTTACTGTTTGAATAGGACATATTTCATGATTATCATCATCCTCTGATAGGATAACAGCATCTGTTTTTTCCTTCTAACATAGAACAGAAATGTTTATTGAACATTTCTCCTTTTCTTCATTAGTATTTACAATTTGCCTCTGTCCATCTATTACTAGATCATTGTTAGGATCACTTTTGTACTCAATACACTTTAAAAGCTCATATTTATTGTCTTTAACTTTGCTGGACATAAATTTTTATTTGTGTTGTTTTGCTTTCCTTACCAATTTTCTATACTTCCTAGTTTCTAATTTATATTCATTGCTATTAACTTCCCACTTTTTCTTCATTTGTTTATATACATGTAATTTTTTTTTATAGCTGCCTTCACTTTTCCGCTAAGCCATGCTGTTTTTTTTAACCATCAAAGCCTTTTTTTCTTGACTGCAGGGACTGTGGCTTTTGGGACATTTAATACAATGTTCTTAAATAGTTTCCAGTTACCATTCACATTTTTCTCCTTAAATTCTATTTTTTTCCCAGCTGAACTGGCTTGTAATTGTTTGTGAAATTGGCTCTCTTAATATATTGCGCACGTGCACAGGTGTGTCTGCGGGAGAGAGAGAAGAAAGAGAGACCATGTGTATACACGGTTGGTTTGGACTTTATTGGTTTGTACATACAAATGTTATCAAGTCATGGTCATTTGCACCTAAGCAATGGTTGATATTGAAATCAGTTCCTCTTTTTTCAGTCAAGATGAAGTCCAACATGAATTCTCTTATGTAGGATGCAACACTTGTTTGAGGTAGCAAACTGATTTTGGGAATACCAAGGATATTTTTGTACTGGAAGCAGAAGACCTCCAGCATGTCATTCAGAATTAAGTCCTCCACAGTAGCACAGCCTTTTTAACCAACACATTATAACTAGGACATCTCATTCTCTTGCATGATTTGGCAGTCTTTAATGGACACCTTCCAGTAGAAAGGTACCCTATCCTGTGCTTTATCTGTTAGGACATTGACCCAAACACACTCAAGATAATTTGTTTTAGAATTATCAGCAACTCAAAAACAGGTAGTGCATTTTTTTTTACATAGAAGGCTAATCCCCCATCCCTTCTGCCCACTCAATCCTTCCTAAATAGATTATAAACAGTAATTTTAACATTCCAATCATGCAAATCTTCCCACCAGGTTTCAGTAATACCAACTAGGTCGAATTTATGCTCATAAATGAGCAATTCCAATTCCTCGTTTATTACCTAGGCTCCTCGCACTGGTGTATAGGCAATTAAAGAATTTCTATTTCTTCAAGTCCCTTGGTACCTTGATTAATTTTGTTCTTAACATCTTGATTTTGTGCTAAATGAGTGTTCCTTCCTCCCCGCACCCCCATCACCCTCTCTTTTTGTTATTAGCTTAATGCTCTCCTGGGTCCTTTCTAGTCTAGCCAGCTGATTCCCTAGAAGACTAGTTCCCCTTCTGCTAAGACAGAGGTCACCCAAACTGAACCCTCCCCCTCCCCATAAAAGACATACCAATGTTCCTCAACATCAAAATCCGCTAAGTTATGCTATTTATCCAGCTAGCAGTTGGCTTCTGCTTCTGCCTTCTTTGAGTCACAAGATAACTGTGTGTAAGCTTGCTTGGATATTCCTGTTCTTCTCTTTTCCAAGATCTCCCAGGTCATCTGTGACCTATATGGTATCATGCAAAGCCACGCTAGTTCCAATATGGACCATTACCATTAGATCATTGGAACATAAGAATATAGGATTAGAAGAGGGCTCCCAGGTCATGTAGTCCAGTATCTTTTCTTTTCAGGCCACCATTTGTCCAAACAAGTTTAAAACATCTGCTGCAGCCCTCTTGCCTACCAGAGCCACAAGACACCCAGTAAGCTACCAGTGTGTGATAGGCAAAGAACAGGAAAGACAAGGCCACTACCAATGCTTTACCAGTATGACGGCAGGAATTTGCCACCAAATTCAGAGGCCTCTCCAGTCCTGTAGCCACATCTTGTGTTGTGAAACCAAGCTATAAATCGTGCAGCTGCCTTTCCAGAATCTTCTTCTAGGCCCATTTCTGTTTTTTTTTTTTTTCTTCAGTCTGGGGGTTGTGTGTGGTCAATGATTCCTGAATCTGCTTGTACAAATGCACCTTAGCCTTTCTGATGCTAGTTTCTGTCCTTCCAAGTCACCTTCCAGAGCAGCCACCAGTTTGCAATTCATACAAAGGAAATGTTTCTGTCTTCAGCCTGGCAAGAGAACGATGCATATTCCCTTACATGCTACAACTGCTGCTCCATCGCGGACCCCTATGTTGAAAGGTATCTTGTTCTTAGTCCTATTGAAATTAGTGGTGATTTCTATTTATTTTGGTTGGAGTATTCATAGGAACATATGAGAATTAAGTGTTCAACCTCTAGGGAAAGTCAATGTCTAATATAACTATGAAAGTGCACTGCAATGGGACTAAAACAAGCACCTACCCAATACATCAAAATCACAAAAGGGACTGTCCATAAATATTTCTATCTCAGCTCTTTATAGATTTAGAGACAAGTGTGTTGGGGCGGGGGGGGGGGGGGGGGTTTTTTTGCCACGCTCTAAGGGTAAAAAGGCCTGGCT